TAACTGCCAAATGAAATTTAATACATTTTCCCATCCATGAAATAGGCCTCTTAAATACAACAGAATAATTACTTTCACAATACTCCCTGGAAACAAAGAGAGCAAAAGCATTGAATGTCTTTTTTGTTTGTGGCATTTGTTGTTAGCTTGAGGATAAGGACAGGATATTTACCAAGATGCTGTAGGCAACCTCGCATCCCTGTATAAAAGCAGCCTGGCCAACAGCCACCTAATTTGAAGCTGCATGTCTTTTAAATCGATTTATGTTGGAGGACTTGTGGCAAATATTAAATTTTGTAATTTAGTTAGACAGTTTGGCCTTGGCCTGAGTTGGTGAACTTTAAATTTTTTCCTATGATAAAGAAAACTAAAATGATCTTCAGATCTGGATACTCATATGCACATATATGCCTGAAAATGTCTTTGTTATAGGTATGTGTGTGCACACATACATGTACACACATTGGTTTAAAACAAAATCTCCAGAAAGTAAACCCCCTTGGACCCTGAACTCTGCTTCCCTCCCCTGTGTATGTTTATATGCCCATTCAAATTGTTCAATGTTAAAAGTTTCCTGAGTTCAAGATCTATTTTAGTTCTCTAACTGGACATTGGCTAAGTCACTCAGCAATTCTCCACCTTAGCACATTTTTTGTTTTTTATGAAATTGAATTTTACCTAACTTACTTCCAAGTTCCTCCAAACCCTGAAAGTCTATATTCTGGGAATTTAAAGAACTTCTAGTAAATCAGTCTTTTCCCCAGAAAGTATGATCATTTAAAATTATGATGCTTAATTTAATTATTCCCAATGATAAATTTTCAGGGGATAAAATTGAAATGGATGTGCCAGAATTGGAATCTATCTTGACCTAAGATTCAGGGTAACTTAGATATCTGTACATAGAGGTACCAGTCATGACTTACCAGGTATGCAGACAATCAGGCCAAGCCATGTTTGGGCCATGTGATTCTATCTGCTCATTCTTTTGTAACTCATTGGATCACAAAACACCAGATCCTAGAGTGGCCTATTCATAGCATAGCCTATGTCTGCTTCAAAGTGATGTGCTGGCCCTTGGATAGTCTTGGCATTCAGAACCTGGAAATACTAAGGAGAGAGGGAGTTAGAACCCCCAAAGAAAGGTACCAAGAGACACCATGAAAGAGGAAACCAGGCTGTAGTTAGAGTGACAAGCATCGAGTAGATTAGATAATGTTTTCTGAATTAATAAATGTATTCTGATCAACTGATTAGTAATTATCTAATAATTATTAAATTTTACCTGTATCTTTTAGCATAATTATATCTAAAACTACATTCTAAGAGACTATGACAATGTTCTTAAAGATAGCAAAAAATGCAATCAGTATTATTTAACTGTTTTTATAAGCTGGCTTTTAATTTTATTGTTATCTTAATGTTTATCAAAATAGATCTTTAATGAAGTATGAGTTTTCTAAACATAGGTACCATATGTCATACTTTGAGTCAACTTGTAGCTTGAAAGAATCTGCTTTTTCCTAATACATTATTACCTATTTGTTATAGGAGAGGTGGACACATCACTGACCCCTGTATTTATTAGTGGTGGTATTGGGTCCTCCATCTTATTGCTGAGCTGTTCTCGTGGTAAATTTGTGTTATCATCCACCATCTTTCTTGGCTCTCCTGTAAACAGAAACAATATTTCTGAAGTAAATAGGATTGGAATGTGCTGTCTGGGGCCAAGTAAGCAAGCAGTGGAATTGATCCTGGAGAATCAGACTCTTTACCACATGGATCTGAACCTTTCAGCCATCATCCACGTGTCCTGAAATACACAGCAAAGCCTTAAATATTAACAACTTTATCTACTACTTCTTTCATGGAAATTGACTGATAGTATTTGAAATGACCTAGTGACCCGTAGAAAATAGAGTGAGGTAATACATATACCTAAAATCCAAACAAAATGGTAGTTGAAACAACTATACTTTCAATTGTATTTATCTTCTTTACAATTTCACTGTCATTGTAGAGGAGAAAGACTTAAAATCAACCAAATGTGAAAATAGTGAGTGCAAAGATGATCATAAGTGAAGGTAGATTGAAGCTTGAGTGCTCAGAGCTCTTGGACTTCATGGACTCTCAATTTTATGTAATAAGCAAGTGTTTTCAGATAAGATATAAACTGTGTGTAACTATTATGTACTCATTGTTTTACATATACTTTTTTTTTTTTTGGTACCAGAGATAGAATTTAGAACTCGACCACTGAGCCACATCCCCAGCCCTATTTTTTTTTTTTTTTTTAATTTAGAGACAGGGTCTCACTGAGTTGATTAGTGCCTTGCTTTTGCTAAGGCTGGCTTTGAACTCAAGACCCTCCTGCCTCAGCCTCCAGAGCTTCTGGGATTATAGGAATGCTTCACTGTGCTAGGCTTACATATATTATTGATACTCTTTGTGATAAGCCTGGGAGACTTGCTCTCTATAACTTAGTGTTGTTTTCTTTGTTTTGCATTTGAGCAACTTAAATAATGATTACACAGCTGACAAAGAAACCGGCTTCATTTAGGTTCTAGACACTTCTGCTCTCACTGTTATACCAGTTATAGCGACTTTCCTAATCAGCTGAGGCAATAAATAAAAAATATAAAGGCAATTGGCTCTTATAAGAACCATTTATAAGAACCATTCTGAATGTGATGCAGAGGGAGAAATTTTTCAAGATTAATACCTTAATATGATTTAAATAAAAAATAAAACATTAGCCTTAAATGATATCACAGATGACCACAAATGCTTGAGAGTGTTTATAGAATGCTTATGAAACATAAAGAGCAAGCTGCTCTGCTAAGCTTAAATCAGTGGTCATCTTCAGTGATTCCAACTGAGTACCATCCTTTGTGGAAATTCAAGAAATTAGATTCATTGGGAACAGCAACAAATATGAATTGGCTCTAAGATAATTATTTAGGTTCACATTGATTTTTGGATTTTAGCTGTCATTTGATTAAGGCCTGTCAAATTCATGCTTCCAAGTTGAGATCTTAGACCCAAAGTATAATCACTGAATCTATCTTCTGTATGCACAAATATAAGTATGGCAAATCAAAACCTGGATGTAAAATGACTCTTCTTCTTTCCTGGGGAAAGAATGTCGTATAGAAAGAGTGAGCAAGGCATGGTTGAAGGAATGGGGTAGACCAGCCTGCCTGTAAGAGAGTGGACCCCAGTCTCAGAGGAAAGCCGGGATGGTGTGGCAGTAGTTGAGTGTATGGGACGGGCTTGCACTTGTAGCACAGCTGGAACTCTGGGCCAGCGGGAGAGATCCACCAAGAGGCCAGTTTGTGGTTAAACATGGAATAAGCTCAGGGTCTCAATGCATAGAACAGCCACACAGGGGCTGACCTACCCCGGATCAGCAAGTGTATGTTGCAGCACAGGCACCCGGTGCCATAGCGCGGACTCCCAGCCTCTCAGCTGAAGTGCTTATATTCCCTGGTGTGGACAGTGTCCTTTACTGTTCTCATTGTTTTTCAATCTGAACAATTAGTACAATTTATGTGATCCTCCTGATGCCCGCCCCCAGCAAATTATTGTCTTTCGTATTATGTAGGAGTGTGTATATTCATGTACATATAAACTACATCCATATATTCACACACACACACATACACATATAAAATTCTTGATACTTGGCTGCCTTTAAATAATGTGCATGTGCTTCAGTCCTGTGAGTGTGTTGTTGCTTCACATTGTTACTATTTATGCATTCTTTGGAAAAACTCTTATAAAACATTTTGGTACCAAAGAATGAAAATTCTGCTTTGTGATCTTATATATATTTTGAATTAGAAAAAGTAACCCTTGATTCAGAGCTGAATAAATTCATGCATAAATATTTTTTTGTGTTAGACCCACTGGCTGGCATAAATGCTCCCTTAACAATAGGCTAAGGAAAAAAACTACATAAAAACACAAACGCAAATGTGAGCTATTTATGTTTCTCTTGGTTTACAAATGCTTAATGGTTTTGCTTTAAGGCATCTGCTATAAAGTCAGCAACTGCTGTCCCAGTGCCACAAGTTCAATGTCTCTGGACCCCATAGTAGGTAGTAGTAGTTAATGAAAAAAAAAACTCAGCAGTATTTTTTTTTCCTCTCCAAATCAAGTAATCATGCTGTACTCTATAATTTTATTCTTGGAAACACAAAGAGTGTTTACAATATGGTGTCTTTCTAGGATCAGAGTAGTGGAGGGAAAAAATGGAAAAATGTCCAAACATCCTCACATGGCAATCATGGCTTTACTGGTGTGTTTAATAAAACCTTTATTGGTACATTTTCCGGTGTGGTGGCATTGGCACAAATGGTCCCCCTTTGGATTTGGAACTCAGCAGCTGATGAAATACAGTAAACATTAATTTGGAATGGACTGCCAGTGTTGGAAAGCCAGGTGACATTTTATTATATTTGTACCGAGCAGGGGCTATGTCCCATACTGCTGTAGCTTCCGCTGTCAGAGGCTTAGCTGGCATTATGGAAAAAAAAATGGCAGGCCTGAGAATCTTATCCCCTGAAATGAAAGTCGAATGCCAAATTGAAATTCCTGTAGGATTTCCGATAGCAATGGGGGAATTGAGAAGCCCACAATTAAGCATATGGGCATTAAGATAATTGTCAGATCTGTTGGCGGACATGATAGAAGACAGATGGGTACGAATCCGTGCGCTCCACTGCAGCACCCTGGGAGACAATTTGACGTTTTACCTGCCTGAGCTACTCTGCCATATTTGTCACTGGATGTACAGCACGGCATCTCACTGAGCGTTAAGTGTTTTTGCAGAGAACTCTAGGTGCATGTGCAGTCCTCCAGCGCCCTCTAGCGAAACGCCTGTGGGAGGATTGTTTTCCAGAGGCCAGCCTTCCTGCTTCCAGGTCCTAGCTGCCCCTGGAAACAGCTGTGGTGCCTCCCATTACCACTGATCACAATGGCTCCTCTCATGCTTTCAGGTTGGGGCCCATCGTGAAGATGGCGTGGCCCTGAGAGGCAGCCATTCTCTTCTGCCAAATCAGGTTCCGGTTCCACAGCTTCCAGTCCAGTCTGCAACTTCCCCTGACTTGAACCCACCCCAGGACCCTTACAGAGGTAAGTGTGCCTCGGAAGGGCACTTCTGACCTCCTGTAAACAAGACACACAGTGTTGTTGCCCCGTGTCCTTGGTGGTCTGCCCTCAGGAAGCATTGGCAGAAAACCAAGAATCAAATTTGGTACAAAAATGGTAAGTACATGGGAAAGTAGTGAGAACCTAGCCTGCTAATCGTGTTTCTTCAGTAACTGTTTTCCTCCAACATCCTCTGAAAATCCTGGTCCCCTTTCAGTAGGGAATGAGACAGCAGACTGATGAGAGGAAATGATATTTTAGCTATTTCCACATTTTACCCATTCAGGTCCTCTAATGTGGTTACTTGTGGCCTGAAAATGATGTTTTCAAATGAATAGGATGGAAGGAAATTGTTTTAGTTGTTTGAGATGGAAGGAAATATAGGTACGTTTTTAAAATGGAACATGGTTGTGGTTTTCGCTCTTGAGTCATCTAGCCATGTCATGGTGCCTCATGTGCCTGACTTTTCATGCCCCCAGGAAGTGGTGCTACAAGGTCTGGGTCTAGGTTCTCTGTGCGACTCACTGGCCAGCTGACAATCCATCGATCATTTCAAGAACATCTTCTCATTCCCTGCACATTTAAAATAAACACAATAACACTGCCTCCGGAGTCCATATAATATCTTTCAACTGTTAACTTTTATACCTATCTGAGCGTTAATTATATATATGGGTATGGCTATTCAGTTTTATCTGAGCAGTAATAATCTGGCAGAGCTCTTGGTTTTGCTCTCTTTGCCCTAGATCTGTACTTCTCCAACTGTAATGTGAAAAGCGTGAACCAAGGATCACATTCAAAGGCTGATTCTGATTTATTAATTTTGGAATTTGGCATTTCTAGTGGCTCCTAGGTGATAAGGATGATCCTGGACCATGGACCAAATTTTGAGAAATAGGGTTCTAGAATACATAGATTGCAAGTGGAAGGAAATACTTAATAGACATTCATCGACTAAGAAATAAAATTACATTAAAGTCACATTTTAAAACATAGTGTGGTATTAGAAAGTTTAGCGATGATAAAGCTAGAATATTCTTCAGTGAGCAGAGAACTGCCTTCCATATGTACCATTTTTAATGCTGATTACTCCTTGAGGATAAGAGAAGCCTAATTTCAGAATATCATTAGGATATCTATTGAAGTCTTGACTGCATATATTTAGCGTACTCCCTGGGAATTATATTTTAAGGACATTTTTCTATTAAATCATTGCATATGGAAAAAAACTCAATATAATAGCTGATATTTACTTGGGTTCTTAATCAGAACATTGAGGTGTGTGATTTTCATGATTATGATTTTCATTGCAATTAAGTTGATGTTTTGTAGACAGTGAAATTACCATCTACTCCAAAAGATTGCAAAATAGAATTTAACCTCAGAGCCACTGCAGGGAAAACTTATTTCCGCAGGTGCATTTCTGAAACTTCACCAGATAGCAGGGAAAGAGTGACAGAAGGATCACAGTTCAGCAGTGCGAATCGTCTGGCTGGCAGCCTCGAGGTCTGGGGGGTGAGTGTTTGTGCACCGAGGTTTCAGCAAACGTGTCACCTGGTCTCTTTTTTTTTTCCTATAGGCATGCCACCAGGACTTCAGGGGCAGAGTGTCTCCTCCGGCAGCTCTGAGATCAAATCTGACGATGAGGGTGATGAGAACCTGCAAGACACAAAATCTTCTGAGGACAAGAAATTAGACGACGACAAGAAGGATATCAAATCAATTACTAGGTCAAGATCTAGGTAACAGTATATCATACTGTCGCTTCATTTAATTCCTTTATTGGACTTTGATGAAGTGAACAGAATAGGAAGAAACTACTGAGTTTTTTCCTGGCAGGTAAATTTACAGATCAAAAGAAAATTGAAGGCCTCTTCTAGAAGTACTAAAAGTATCATTTAAGATACCTGTACTCTAGTGAAGCCTAAAATGTTTTTGCATTTATGAATTTGGACCCAATGCTGATTACACACAATACAAAAAAAAAAGAAAGAAAAGAAAGAAAAAAGATTTATAATGAATGCAAGTGCAAATGGTTCATTTTTAAAAGTATATTCTATAAATTTGGTCAGAAATGTTCTTTCTAAAAAGTGATCATAGGCATGTTAAAAAGTCAAATAATGATGTGTGTGCCACTGTAACTGTTTTCTTAAAATATTGATTTCCCAGCTTTATCCTAAACATGTTAATGTATAGAAGAGTAATTCCTCGATTGCTAATCTTTTCCCTCCCAGACTTTACAGAAAACAACTGCACAAGAATAGCTTCCAGTTGGTCTTAAGTATCTGATATCTTTCAGCTAGATCTGTCTCTTTGAACTTTAGTAATCAGATGGTTTTTTGAATGCCATGGACACCCATGTGCTTTGCCTTAATTCCTTTGGGCGGTTTTTATTTGAGAATTAAACCAATTGTACTGTGCCTGCAGCTTCCCTTTTAAAGGCTGTGGTGCTCAAGGTTAGAGCTAGTGTTCTTAATGAATTAAGAAGATACTTCCTTTTTACACTGGCTTTATAATTACTGGGGCAAATTACATTACGTGTCCTGCTGCAAGTTACAAAAATGCTCAGTGCTTCTAGCTAACCCCTTTCTACTGTCGTTACGGTTTCCTGATTCTTGGCCACATGGCAAGATAGCCCAGGGTGGGAATTTCACATCCTTCATAGTTTCTCTCTTAGTCTGGTCAGTTCTTGGTAATATAACCTACACATATTAACGGATTCTTTGAAGTCTCAGAACAACATTTTAACTTGCTATTGAGAACCTTCTTGTTTTCAAAGGTCACTCTGATGACATTTACTTAGGTATGCCTCCAAGACTGTGTTGTGAAGCAATGCTTTTCAAATCTAGGCAAATCATTTGCATAACTAATTTATTTATAAGCGAATAACCAATTCTAATCAGTTATTAGCCTGAAAATCTTTGGAAGACAATTTCCTATTTTCAAGTCCCTTCTGTGTAAGGTATGGCACATGTCTGATATATAAAAATATTACCCAAATTTTTAGCTTCAGGGAAGGCCCAGTGGAGATTTCCTTTGGGCTTATTACAGCCTGTTTGCTTAGCAGGGTGCAAGAGCGAATTAATAGTAAACTGATTTTCTTTGGCACCAGCAGGGATCATGGGTAAGAAGAGAGGGGGGATAAGCAGAGAACTGCGGAAGACTAGGAAGTGGCTAAAGAAGCCCTTTTCTGGTTGGTTCCATTGAGCTGTGTGTCAGCCAGCACACACCTGTGGCCAGTGTTGCCACATGGGAAGGGATTTCAGCTGTGGGAGGGCAGTATGGTCTTTGAGCCTCTTTGTTTAGTGTCTTCATCTTTCCTCACTAACTTTTTATTCTGTGTGTAAGTGTTCTTGGCTTCTATACATCATTACGCACTGTATGTCCTTGGATCCTAAGAATACCACTTTTAATTTTTGATTGATTCGAGCTTCTCCAGTGTACTTGGTCCTTTTTGCAATTTGGAAGTTACCCAAGGATTTTCCAAAAATGGAAGATCAGAGCCATACTTTTTAAGCCAGCATTCATTAAATGTAGGTCAAATTGACTCAATAACTATCCACATGTCTCCCAGTTCTGAAATGCTTTGTGCAGTGAACATTTCCGACGTGGAATTTCGAGGTAGCTGCCAATCTCCTGTCCATTAGCTGAATGCCGGAACCTCTAGGCTAACGGCTGGATAGGTAGTCACCTCCATAGTATTTCTTACAACAGGGAGTCATTGCTTTTTAGTGGCATTTACTCCATTTTTGATGTCTTTCATACCCCCCAAAAAATTTCTTGCTCATGGTCATTCACAGTGGTCACCCAGAGTTCTTTGTTTTGTTCTTGAGACAGGACGTCTCCCACACCTGCCTTTGAAAGTCCTTTGAAATGTTGGAAACTCTCCTGCCGTGAAAGCTTCCTCAGACGCTCTGCCTTCCAGATGACTCATCGTCCTCTTTGCCTTCTGCTAAATGTCTAATTGGTCACTAAGATACCCAGAAACTGTCAGAACTGATCTTATCTGTGCAGTCCACACTAGGCCCAGCCATACCTTCATTATGAATCATCAGGGTATTTTGGTTCTTAGCGAGATTCCTGTTTGCCTTCATTTTTGACTCACCATGAGGTCATGTCAGTTTATAAGGGGTAGATGTTTGGATTTTGTATTGTTTTACATAGCTGATGTCAATTCAGATTTCCCCAACTTATTTTGGGGAATCACAAACATCCATAATATTAAAGACGTGGAAGTCATGTTTTGTTCTGATTTTTTTTTTCCTTTTCAACTTTTCATTTACTGTGTGGAGAAAATGAGACACAGGTAGGGCTCATGGATTTCCAGGCCTTCAGAGCTGGGAATGGTGACCTCTGGGCATGGTCCCATTGTCTTGACTCTTATTGCTGTGATGTCTTCAACGGAGGTCTTTCTTCTTGGTCCTATTAACTTGCCAGTCTTATATTTTCTTTGACCTATCAAAATCTCTTTTTCAGTCACATATTTCCTTAGGTTTCAGATGTCACAGTGTGAAAGTTCTTCAAAAAAAGATGGCATGTGAGCAATTTTTCTGCAGTGTGGTCACGGAGAACAGGCCAAGCATAGTGGGTAGAGGCCTGCTTGGCAGAGTGTGACTTACCCACAAAAGCTTCATTTCCCCAGATCATGCTCTCCTGTTCGATTGGGGTTCCACGTGTGGGTAAATATCCTTCATATGGACCAGTTGCCAAGGTCAAGTGGATGTAAAACTGACAAGGACGCAGATTGAGATGGGGAAGTTTCCTGACAACTCTGGGAGAAAACAAAGTAATTTAGACACCTTCCTTTCCCCCACACCGTTAGAAAATGTCGTGTCCTTTTTGACCCACAGCAATAATGACGATGAGGACCTGACTCCAGAGCAGAAGGCAGAACGTGAGAAGGAACGGAGAATGGCCAACAACGCCCGGGAGCGCCTGCGGGTCCGAGACATCAACGAGGCTTTCAAGGAGCTCGGCCGCATGGTGCAGCTCCACCTCAAGAGTGACAAGCCTCAGACCAAGCTCCTGATCCTCCACCAGGCCGTGGCTGTCATCCTCAGCCTGGAGCAGCAAGTCCGAGGTCAGTGCAGGCAGCAGTGTGGTGAGATGGACTTGAGCCACAGCACTAGACTTTTAAGAACCCTCAGAGGAACTGCTCAGGGCAGGCTGCTAAGACCTCTGGGCAGCAGCATTGATTACTCAGATTGTTGAGTTACCTTCCGTTTGTACTGTCAATAATCGGAGCTTAGTTAACTTTATTTTAATTTATTTTTGGGGGGCGGGGTACCAGGGATTGAACTCAGGGACACTCGACCACTGAGCCACACCCCCAGCCCTATTTTGTATTTTATTTAGAGACAGGGTCTCACTGAGTTGCTTAGCACCTTGCTATTGCTGAGGCTGGCTTTGAACTCAAGATCCTCCTGTCTCAGCCTCCCGAGCCACTGGGATTACAGGTGTGCACCACCGCGCCTGGTTAGTTAACTTTTTCCAACTCCTTTCCTCCTATAACGTTGCTGTACAAATCTTCCATATAATCCAGGTTTTACTAGTGAACCACCAAAGGAATCACTGTAGTGCCCATTTCCTAATTGCTTCTTTCCTCTGTCACTTAAAAACTGAACCAAAGGGTCAAACACACACACAGGAGGTATCACTGTCCTCTGTGAGAAGCCTTGACATTGACTAAATGGCCTGTGCTCTCATTCTCCACAGAAAGGAATCTGAATCCGAAAGCAGCATGTCTGAAAAGAAGGGAGGAAGAGAAGGTGTCCTCAGAGCCTCCCCCACTCTCCTTGGCTGGCCCGCACCCCGGAATGGGAGATGCATCCAATCACCTGGGACAGATGTGAAAGGGCAAGTTCGTTTTCAAATATTTCTGCAATATTCACTCATAACTCTTGCACAAATTTTTACCCAAATTTATCCAAACTCTTAGCCAAATTTACCCCTGAATCAACTTTTCCCATATTTTTCTTTCTTGGTAAATGAAGGTTTTTTTGGTTGTGTGTGTGTGTGTGTTTTTTTTTTTAAATCACTTTCTCTTTAATAAGTATATTAATGAACTTTCCTTTTTTTTTCCTTTCTCAGGTCCAAGTTGCCACATTGCTTCATTAAAACAAGAGACCACTTCCTTAACAGCTGTATTATCTTAAACCCACATAAACACTTCTCCTTAACCCCCTTTTTTGTAATATAAGACAAGTCTGAGTAGTTACGAATCACAGACGCAAGAGGTTTCAGCATTCCCAATTATCAGAAAACAGAAAAACAAACAAAAAAAAAGAAAAAAGTGCAACTTGAGGGACGACTTCTTTAACATATCATTCAGAATGTGCAAAGCAGTATGTACAGGCTGAGACGCAGCCCAGAGACTGAATGGCAATCTTTCCACACTGTGGAACAATGCATTTGTGCCTAAACTTCTTTTGGAAAAAAAAAAATATAATTAATTTGTAAGTCTGAAAAAAATATTTAATTTAAAAAAATTGTAAACTTGCAATAATGAAAAAGTGTACTTCTGAAGAAAAACTACATGAACGTTTTTGTTGGTATTCAAGTCAGCTAGTGTTTATTATTACTGGATATTGAATAGGGGGAGCTCGGCTGCCCTAGTCACAAAACCAGCAAACGTCCTGATGACAAGAAGTGATGACATTAGCCATTCCTTAGGGTAGGAGGAACAGATGGATCTTATAGACCTATGACAAATATATATATAAATATATATATAAATATATATTAAAAATTTAGTGACTATGGTAAGCTTTTGTTCATTTGTTTCAGACTTTTTTTCTCCTGTAAAAAAATAGTACTGATTAACTTTTTTAAAAGAAAGATTTTACTGTAAATATGGATTTTTTTTTTTTGGGCGGGGGGGTCTTATTTCTGTCCCTTTCCCCGGTTTGTTACCATAACCTGTAGTGCCAACTCTGCTTCTGGAGGGGCAGTGCAGGAGGAAATGCTGACCCTGATGTTGCTTCTCATTCATAAATAAGTAGAAAGTCGTTTCTCCAGTCTTTTGGGAACACAGGACTTAAAAGTCACATCATGTGTAGATATTACAAGCAGCATTACCAAGACATGGCAAAACTGTTGTCTGACTTGTAATGTTGCATTTGTGACCCTATTCTGGGATTTTCAGAGGTACAAGGTTAGAATGCTACAATGTTACCACTGTGCCTTCCAATGTTTATATCATCGGAAACATAACATAATCAAAGTGGCTGTGATTTAACAAAACGATTAAAGTGTTACCTACCTGTGTAGCCGGAGTAGTGTGCAGTGAGGCGTTTCTGAATACATGGTCAGATTTTTGGAAAAAAAAAAACACAAAAAAACAAAAACAAAAACAAAAAAAATGAAGTTCAAAAACCGTCAAATGAGAAAATTGCAAGTAGTGTGACAGAGCTGATTGATTTTGTTGCTTTCTTGATTTTTTTTCAAAATGGGTTTACTAAAAAGTAGATGACTTAACTAACCTGCCTCCTCCTTCGTCTGAAAATGCCAATATTCAGTCATCCTGCAGCATTATAATAAGCCTTATAAGTCCTAAAGCATTAAGTTGCACTTTTTTGAGGAGGGGTAGTGCAGTATTTCTCTGGCCAGTATGAATGAAGTTTATACTTAACCATATTTGATAGAAACGTAGACCAAGCTATGGCACAGCAACTCATCAGATAGCTAGCTTTGACGTCTGGGCACAATTGAACCAATTTCCATCGTAAATCTTTCTAATGATTGACTTTGGTGTATAGTGCAGTAAACAAATAGTGCTCCTAGTTAAGTATTTGTCAGCATCCTTTCGTGTCTAACTCGTTTCTATTTTTACAGCCACACAATCTTGGCATGTATTAAGAAAAAAAAAACAATCCCTGTTCAAGTAGTTTTTCCACCTATCAGCACTGAGTAAATGCCATAAATCCATCGAAATGGTCTAAATGTTCCATCTGTTCTCCTGTTTTGCCAGTTATATAGTAATGAAATACATTTGTAAATTTTATGCAACAAATGGCAAACGTATCCTTATTTTGAAATTGTGTATGTAAAAGTTATATTTTTACATGTAGACTCTTGTTATTATGTGTTTTAATACATTGTATCAGTTTTTGTTTTTCTAAACTGTGTGGTTTTAAAAAAAAGTCTCATTTAAATGATATAGTGAGCTACAAGAATCTGAATTTTATGTTCATTTCTGAAAATGTAAGAACAAATAAGATAGTTACCACGTGGTCATCTTTATAAACCCATAAACATTTTGATTAGCTGTGTGTGTGTGTGTTGAAAACTGTAAATATGTTCAGTAGCGATAAAACTAAAATACTTTGATTTGTTGATAAGTTCCTACAATGTGGAGGTGGATTAAAACCTTAGGAGAATAGCAGAAATCAGACTTCATGAAAAGTTTTTCTGGGGCTTTCCTGAGAATCGTTCTATCAAAGGAGCTCAAAAAAGGGCATGGAAGACAATAATGTATACTCTCCCCTCCTCCTGGAATAATGGAAACCATGTGAACTTGTTCCCTCAGTATGTTAAAGATTTCCTTTTAGTGGTCCATTCTGCACTCATTTTGTATAGTCTCAAGGCGGGTATCCCTAGGAACAATATTATATAGGAAGCAGGTATACTCTGATCACATTCAGGATAAGTGTACAGAAGGGAATACGGTGTTTACTCTTTAGGGAACTGGAAGCTCCCTGCATTGATGTACATGTTCAGAGGGCACTTTTGATACATGTTATCAGAAAGGTGCTTCATAGAGCTGAATTAAAGTTTTTCAGATCTGTAAACAAAGCAAAACATTAAATTGTAGTCATTTGGTTATTTTTTAAATTGGTGCTTTATATTTTGTTCTCAGTCAAACCGAGGAAAAGCTGCAATTTCTTGTTCACCAGCTTTGATGTATTCATTACTCCGTAATGTAATACCTCTATTGTGGAATTCCCTTTGGGCAGAAGTGAAAAACTTCCTAACGGCCACCAGAAGCTGCTCGCTGCTCTTTGCTTGGTGGAGAAACATGATCTGCACCTCTCCATAGTAATTGGGTGGTATCCCCTGTTTTAAAAAAAGAAAGAAAGAAAGAAAGAAAAAGAAGAAGAAGAAGAAAGGGAACGTGGCCTTTTTAGTGTGGTTTTTTTGGTTTTTTGTTTTTTTCATTTTTTTGTAATTTGCAAACCCAGGTAAGATATTGGTATCCTGCACTGGATTTTTGAATAAAATTTAGCAGAAGACAGTTAGGATTAAAGAATATACAAAAAAAAAAAATGTCTAAAAGGTCCATACTGCACCAGGCATGCATATATTATATATATATATATATATATATATATATATATATATATATATATATATATATGATGCTTAGACTGGGGATCGGTTTAAGAAACTTGGACTTTGAAAGCAACTTGGAACAGTTGATCCACCTCCACATTCGAGTGATTTATAATATGCAGAATAGGGATCTGTTCATCTAGAAATCCTTACCATTTGTCTTCGTGTAGCTGCAAGGAACACTAATGTGTATACAACAGTCCACCAGTGGTGCAACTGGTTCTCATTCAGTCTTCCGATTCCTTTAATTTTGTTGTTGTTTTTTGATTTGATTTTTTTTCCTATCTCTTGAATTTTTTTTTTTATTCGTGATCTTTATTTTGATGAGGGGTTGGGGAGTGGGGAGGGAATCTAATCGAGACTTGGGGTTATGAGGATTTTCGTCTTTGCATCCAACAGGCAAATATGATGTGTCCAAAAGTGAACTTGAGTCAGGAATGAAACAATTTCAGCATAAACAAGCACAAAAATTTAGTCTGCTGGCTGACTGGAAGCAAAAGAGTCAAGATGGAATTTGATGAATTCCAACACAATGGGGCACCAGGGCCTTTAGGCCTCTTTATTTTGCTTTGGTTTTATTTGTTTTCTTTAGAGACATGCTCCTTCTCATGGGACTTGAAGTGGACTCATCTTTGTGCAGTGCTGGTTTTTGCCATACTCATTTCAAGTATTATAGACATATGTAATGGTGAAAATATATGAACTGTGGCCTTTTTCATTCTTGTTACTTGTGATGCAATTAAGTGAAGATAAGAAAAAAAAAAAAAAGCAGAGATTTACCATGTATCAGTGCCTGGCTTTTTGTTATAAAGCTTTGTTTGTCTAGTGCTCTTTTTGCTATAAAATAGACTGTAGTACACCCTAGTAGGAAAAAAAAAACTAAATTTAAAAATAAAAAATATATTTGGCTTATTTTTCGCAGGAGCAATCCTTTTATACCATGAATATTACAAAAAAAATTTGTCAGATTCTGAATATTTCTTCTTTGTAGATTTTTGGAATCATTATGAGTAAAAGTTTGTTACTTTATTTTACTATTTAAAAGATGTTATTTTACCATGTGTTACCAAGATGAAACTGTATGGTAGCCTTTTTTCGTTTGTTTTTTTATTTTTTTGTTTTTTGTTTTTGTTTCTGTTTTTGTTTTAGTTGTAGGTCGCAGTGGGGAAATTTTTTTTGCGACTGTACACATAGCTGCAGCATTAAAAACTAAAAAAAATTATTAAAAAAAGAAAAAAAGGGAAAACGTTTAAAAAAAAAAGATAAAACAGTTACACCTTGTTTTCAATGTGTGGCTGAGTGCCTCGATTTTTTCATGTTTTTGGTGTATTTCTGATTTGTAGAAGTGTCCAAACAGGTTGTGTGCTGGAGTTCCTTCAAGACAAAAACAACCCAGCTTGGTCTAGGCCATTACCTGTTTTCCCATCTGTAGTTATTCGATGAAGTCATGTACATGACCGTTCTGTAGCAATAAATGTGCCATTTTTATAAACTGTTTCTGACACTTGCTTCATTTCATTTTGCATTGTCCTATGATGCTGTCCTGTAAGACTGCATCTCGATTTCATTTTCCACGTGTTGGAGGTATTGACAGCTTAACAAACAAAACATACAAAAAAAAAATCACAAAAACAAATTGAAAAGCAAAGTACATGGTTGATCAAGGATGAGATGCCCTTAATGAAATGGAACGGGATGCATGCAAAACAAAAAGAAAAGTGTCTAGAGGATTCACTAATTGAAGGAGTGTAATTCATGTGTGTGTAACACTGAAACTATGCATTTGAAGAGCTCTGAACTGCGCCACTGTTTGGGGTTGTGCTGTAGGTTGCTAACTCATGTCAGCCTTAACCTTTCGGATCACTTGGTCAGCTGTTTGGCAGAACATTCTCGGCTAGATCTTTTCAGTCAAAAAAAAAAAAATCTAAGAAGATTTATTTTGTATCACTTTGTTAAAAGCTGAATGTTGTTAACCACAATTAATATTCCACTGTATTTATACTCTCTCAAACTCTTCCCTCCCTACCAACTTCTGGTTGACTGTTGACTATTAATCCAGATGTAAACAACCAGATTTTTTTTTTCTAACTTGTACAAACTGACGCGTGTCACCTATGATGGGAGGGGAAATGTACAGATTAAAATTATTCAGTGTTATGTACTGTAAGTTAATATTTTTGTAGAATGGACATCAAATCTACTTTACAAAATTTGGAGGCTGTTTCAACATTGCACTGTAGAGATGTAAAGTAATGTACACAATGTAAAGGAATCCATGGTAGATGAGCCCTTCCTAAAGGAATGTTCTCACCATTTGCGTGGAATTGGGAAATGTCTCTGATATTGCTCTTGTATTCTTTTGAATGGGATTTAGTGACTAGCTTACCTGAAGGAAAATGTTATCATGTCATTTGGTTCACTTGTGAAGTGCCCTCCATAGCCAAATGTTGAGATTTTTTCTTTTTCTTTTTCTTTTTTTTTCCCCATTTTGGTTGGATTGTTTGCAGATATTTAAATTTTATGAAATTTCCAAAGATTTTGGTTGATAACTTTTTTTTTCCCTTCTAACTGATTTGAGATGTTCTTATGTTCTTACTGTGTGTTTTAAATATATATAAAAGAGCCACAAGCATTTAGTCTTTTAGTATTATATTTGACCATATTCCTACGACTACAGAGGGGGAAATGAGCCCGGACACCTCTTCAGTGTCTCTGATAAAGTCTATTGGTATATTTTCCTTAAAATGGCCATCTGAGAAGGTACTCTGAACTGAGACTTAAATTGCTGGAGAAATTGAATTAGGCAGAAGTTAAGTAAGGTTCCACTAACATTAGAAATGAAGATGGAAAAAGAGGTAGGGAATTGTTTTGACTCTTGTAATTAATTCTTATAAAACAAGGTGAAATTTCTATTCTAGGCTTCAATCATAGGCCACCTTTCTCTTGACTAACAGCCCAAGAAATGTCATGCATAATCCTCTCTAAGGGAGAACTGGGAAGCATTAGGAACTGGTGCACTCCTTATATGCAAATCACCCCCAGGATCATACATTTAAATTGCACTGTGAACCCTTTTGCTCTGCCAGCCAATAGGTATTATTCAACAAGCATGTTGCTGATCCAAACTAATTACTAGTCTACATTTTCACTGGTCACAACTTAGAAACAGGGCCAGTTGTGAAAGGATGAGGAGGTTGAGAAGAGCCAAAGTCATCTTGGTCTTCCTGAGAAATCATTTAAACTAAGAATATTTGGGGAACAAATGGGCCCCAAGTGAAAAAATCTACAAGTCTTCAGTAAAGAAAGACCCATGTCCCTAGTTTCAAGCATGTGTGCACTGCATGGAGCCCCAGGAAAATGCTGGGTGCTGTGGGGTCCACAAGTCAAATCAGCCAGTCAATACCCAAGTATTTGAAATGCTAAATTAAGATCATTGAATCTATACCCAACATAGCAATCTAAAGTAGTGTTCTGCATCATGGGCACTTTGAAAAACAAATGAAATAACAGAAGAAAAATCATATATATATATATATATATATAAATTATCACCTTTGGTTTTTAAGGAATTGATGAATCTCTAGAGACTAGTCATGGACCTTGTTCGTGGACATAGGTTAAGAAAATTTGGTGTATGGTAAACATAACTGAAAAGGGGAATCAAACCAATCCCCATTGACCTTGACTGAGATTGCTGAGCCTACCCAGAACTGGACTGATGTCTGGCTTTTCTGGGTAAAAGAAAGATCTTTTGTGTAACACAGAAAATGTGGTCCTCGCTCACATCTGTTACACTATATTTAGAAGTCAAATAGCTTTGGTGTTGGCATGAACATTCTTCTAGGAAGAAGCAGAAGCTTGCCAAAGGCAAAGTGAAAATGCTCATGCAGAATCAGGTGACCAGGCGTGAGGTTTTTGACTATAACCAGCCCCTGGGTGAGAACCTCTTGTTCTTGAGCAAAACTGACAAGAATTTTAATAAGAAAATCAGGTTTTTGCAAGAAATTATTGCACTTTGCAATTTTGTGTGTGTGTGTGTGTGTGTGTGAGTCTGGATGAGGCCATTTTAAAGATAGGAAAGTGAAGGCAAAGTGACATGCTCAAGTCCTCGGAACTTAAACAAGGAGCCCATGTCTTTGCTTTGGGCCCAGGGATCACTGTGTGGCCCCACCTCCTAAAAGACCAATCTGTCCCTGTTTTATCATAATGCTTTCTCAACAGCTGCATAGAGGTTCATCGTTTGGTTTTTCTCTTTTCTGCCATTTTCTCATGGAATTTTTTTTTCTTTGCAGGAGACTTGCTGAGCTCCTGCAATTCTCATTTTCCACCTTATTGTACAAATGGTTGAGCTACAAGTAGATAGGAAAATGTGCACGCAACAAGAGTCCTAGCAAAGTCAAATTTTCACTCTGGCCCACTTTGAGAATACATTTTTAAATATTTAAAACATATTTAAAGTATTATTTGTTTGGGGGAATAATCTTTTGATTGGCAGAACAATTGCCAAGATAATACATAATATCCCCATGTATTCTTCACCCAACTTCCCACAAGGGCAAAATGTCACATAACCATTGTACGTTTGTCCAGACTAAGACTTTACCATTGGTGCTTTGAGTTTCACTGTGACCCCTAAAATGTCCCTTTTCTGTTCCCACCCCCACATTGCTGCAGTCCAGCCCACTTAGCTGTGGAGGGCTATTGGGCAGTGTGGAAGGAGGCTGCAATGCCCTGATCCCAGGGTCTTCTCAAGTCACAGGCACACTCTGCCCAACCGAATTGTATTAACACTGATTGGCCTCTTACAATGTCATCTCTCAAAAGTCCAGCCCTCTGATGAAAGCTGTAGGAGAACACTGGTGGGAGCCAAAGGCATGGCGGAAGACCTACAGCACCCATGAACTGAGCAACTAGTGGGTCTCACCCCTCATTCGTCAGTGTATTTTTTTTTAACTGAGTGACGATGGCAAAAGAACTAAGGAAGCCAAGGGGCACCAGTCCTTACCTGTAAGACAGTGCAAGAGGTGCCTTTTTATGGCAAGCAATAGTGGCCATAAGGCAGGAGCAAACTATGCTGGGGAATGCTGGAGAGAGAGGCACTGGGATCCCTTCCAGAAAAGTCTGGGCATTTGTGAGAGTGACCTTCAGATGTGAGGCACATTTTGACAGGCCGAGAAGATCATGGGCTTAAAGCAATGTCAAGTCTCCACACTATGAAGAGGTGGGTTTGTCAAAGACAATTACCATCATTCACATCAAGATGCCATGCGCTTCCCATGTTTGCATCACCTCCCCATGCCCCAAGCAAGAACACCTGAAAATGCTTGGCTGACCTTTGTGGTCTACAGAATCATTCTGAGCTCTCCATATTCACCCTGTGGACGAGGAGGAATGGATCCTTTCATATGGATCTGAAGGAGAATCTAGGCAAATCCACACATTTTACAGAGACAGGCAGCGAGGCCTGGAGAACGCAGTTCCTGGGCAAGATCTGAAAGGAACTCTAGTTGCCAGACTGCCCCAGAGCCCTGCGTAGCTCACAGTATGTCAACAAAATGACATTGTTGCCAGAGCCACATATCCCAAGGACATAAGTAAACAAGTAAAAAAAAAAAAAAAAGAAAACATGACTCTAGGCTGTCAAGGCTGAAAACGAGGAGGCCAGGGTGTAACTGGGGGGACGAAAGCATGCTGGGGGATGTCGTTGGCCGTGGTAGCTGGAGTGAGGGGGGAAGGATTCCATGTGGGAAGCCATGTAGGAGGTGAGAAGTGGTAGAGCATGATTAGGAGGCAGTGGGGTCAGAGAGCCTTCTAGATGACGGAGGGGTGGGCCTCTGAGTGAAACGTGAGTCAAGACTGGGCATATAAAACATGGTGGGCGAGAAATGCCTGGGTGGAAGAGTCCTACAGGCTGAGGCAATGCCATCATCATGAATATCTTGCTCCAAACGCATTCACAATGTCATTAATAACAATCAGGTAGAAAAGCTTTCTTCATGTCACAAAGATAAGCATAACAGGACCCTAACCACCTGACACCACCTAAGCCATGCTATTGAACCACCTTGCCCAATGCCCTCCTCTGTGAAATGGAGCTAATAGAATGTACCTCATAATGTCTCATTATTAAATGACGTGGCATTGGCCACCCAACATTAGTACCCAGCAAATGTCAGGGTATTACATAGAGCTTATATGGCAGGTGAGGGTACATTCAGGCCCCAATAATAGGACTGTAGCCTTGGCCACTATTCACTATTCTTGGCCCCCACCTCCCCAGTTCTCTTCCCTCATGGGCAGGAAGAGTCCTCTGGGTCATGCTGTGCATCCTCCCAGAAGCTGCTATGATTTCCTATTTTTTTCTTGGATTTAACAAAACTCCCACCTACCTACTGTTAGAAAAATCTGGAAGCAGAAGGAGCTGTCATAGAAGATAAGAGTTCAAGCGGAGTCTCAACCTCATAGAAGTTCTATTTGCAAAATGGTAGCACT